GGTGGCGCGGCACTGGGCTCAGGAGATTCAGCCGCAGGTCGCTCAGGGCCACCAAGGCGTTGCCCAAGAGACGCAGACACTCCCAGGTAAGGACCAGTGTCTGCTGGTCATCCTCTCTTTCCTGCAGACATAAAGAAGACACCAAGCTAAGGCTGGGGTTGAATGATTTTATTGATTATTTTGAGTAGATTTTTGCGGCTTCTGGAGTTATTAGCGCGTCACAGTTGATATGGAATGCTTTTCCGAACAATATGCTATAGTGGCCGTGGCCCTGTATAGTCATGATATAATATGATGAGTTTCAATGATCGTTTCATATTTTGCATCTTTATATTAAGGCTTTAAGAAACCATTATGTCTTGTAACTTTTTTTGCATGTTTTTTTTTTTGCAGAATAAAATCTAAGTGAGTATTCAACAGTTGATATTTTTTTTAAGTTTTATACCTTGTTCAAGCCATTCCTTATGGAAGGATGCAAAACATGTTTGCAGCACAGTCAAAAGATCAATAATGATTGATCAATTTAAGTGGCTAAAACTCAAAATATTGACAAATATTAAAAGGTATAGTGTGTAGAATTTAGTGCCATTTAGCGGTGAATAAATAGAATGCAATGACCTAAACTTGAAGCTTTGAAGCACGGGCACTGCGGTGCCTCAGAGAGACCACACTTCACAAGCCTACCACCAATATCTTCAGCAAAAGTGCAAGCAAAATGTCATCCCAAACAACTTGTAGTATTCCCTCAAATGATGGAGTAAGTGGCCTGGCATTTGTTACACATGCTTTAGTCATCATGTTGAGGAACTACGTTCGCTAAGTCTGTCTCCTTCTGGTATACATAGAAGAAAGATGACGGGCGAAACATAGCAACCTCCCGTAGGGGAGACGCGCCCTCTGTAATATAATTAGCAATCACTTCGCCTACAATTACATAAAAAAATTTAACAATAATAAAATCACGCTGATGTGATAGATTAGGTCCTACTGTGTTGTTGTTGTATTCTGCGGACGTGGCCGTCTCCAAGATAGTGTGGGCTCTCTGGATGAAGGGCTGCAGCCTCTCCTCCACCCGCCGCAGTTCTGACAACATCTCGGCCAGCTCGGTCGGGCTGGGATGTCTAGTTGAAGAAAAACAAAGACCTATTTACTTCTAATAAAAACATAATGAGCCAACTGTGAATAACTACATGTGTGTGAGAGTCTCACTGGGGTCCAGGTTGAGGTGTCGGTGTCTCAGGTGGCGCCGAGGACGGCGGGGGTGGTGGCGGTGGCGTCACCGGGGGAGGAGAGGTGTCCATGGGCTGAGCAGAGGGAGAAGGGGTGGAGGTGGTGGACGAAGAGGAAGGAGGTGGTGGGGCAGCGGTGGATGGAGTCTCTCTTTGGGTGTGAACAGACGGGTCGTCTGCCCGACCCTGACACAGGCGCAATTGCAGGAATTTACAAAATTGAATGTTGTATTTAAATAGGCGACTTGAATACTACACGTGACAAATAAACCAACTACTGAACTAGAAAGCCCAAAAAGTCAAAAGAAACAAAACACTGAAACTGATGAAAAATCCAAAACTATTCTAACCTTGCAAATGAAGGGGATTAATGGGACTTTGAAGCAAGGTGTGCCGGGGGTCTCACCTCCATCCTTTCAATGAGATCATTGACGTCCCTCAGCATGTTCTCAGCGAGCACCAACCTCAGCCGAGGTTCGCTGTGCACCGGCTGATCCATGTCAACGTGCACGTTCACTGATCCATTGCTCTGAAAGGGACAACGTGGACGAGAATATTCACGTGTTTAGATTATAAAATAGACTTGCCGGGTCCGAAAAGCACACAAACAAACACATAGCTTCTTCAATTAGTCGGATTAACCAGAAAGTTCTCAATCAATTACCAGGAAAGGTTGTGGTGCCACTGATTAGACACTAATCCCTGCTTCATGTTGGTGTGCCAAAATTGGTGTGGGCACGAATCATTAACTATAATGGGAATGAGTGTACGGTATAATATAAGTCCAAAAAAAGTGTAAATTTTACTTTGTGCCTCCTGGTCAGCCACTCTTGAAAACTAGTTGCAAAACCCCGCGTCGTAGATGCCGTTTTTCGTCGTGATTGGCCGAATCACTCATTATGCATCATTCCTGCAGTATGATGTGTTGTGACTTACCCCAGTGCTGGTTGTCACTCTGGCATTCCTTGCATTGTCTCCCATGCCGGACACCATCTGCTGTACTGACATCTAAACAGGAGCGGGAAACAAATGTCGATGCTGGAAACTGGAAACAAAAAAACTATGAGAACCAAAAAGGTCCACGGGTGGTACCTGTATTTGTTGGGGGTCCATGATGTTGACGGGGAGGTTGAAGGTGCCCAACATGACATAGCTGTTGGCGTTGCGGTCGTGCGGAGGTGCCTGAGGCCCGTCCTGTGATGATGATGAGCCACCTCCGCCATCAGCTGAGGTGCCACCCGAGCCGGGTTGGGAGGGCGGAGGGGGTGCACGCTCCACTAAGTGAATCACCTTACCGCCCACATCTAAATCATTGGACGAGTGTTAATATATAACCAGAGGACAACACACACACACACGCAGTTCAGTACTTGCGAATGAACCTATTCATTGATTTTTTTGGGGGGGGAGGGGGAGGTTAATCCTCATCTTTTAAAAATCCAAGTTCAAATCAGTTCTTCAGACGCTCTTAAAATCACAGTTATCAGACCAGTTTTGTTGGTATCAAACTGATGAATGTCACCCCCCCAATATCTGTCTGATAGTTATCTATCTGATAATTATCGTGTATCTCTATAGTAAATTCATGAGACTCATGGTATTGATTCGAATTGTGAGAACTTTTAACGTTCAACCTTCTATTGAATAGTGTTGCATTTTTACTTTTCCAGTTGCGGTAAATTAAGTGACGCACAACATGTGGATTACTCACTGTAGTCTGCCAAGGTTCTTTCATCCTGCAAGACTCTGCCCTGGTAGATGAGCCTCTGCTTGTCAATAGGTATCCCCACAGAAGATGCAATGTGCTCCTTGAACTCTTTTATGGTCAACTACAAGAGGTGGGAGAAAAAAAAAGATCAGATCAAGCCATTTGCAAACTGAAAATCCAGTATGGAGTTATGTCCTCATTTACCTGACCGCCAACAGTGTAGGTTCTGCTCTGAGAGTCCAATGTTTTCACTGTCACTTCTATGTCTGCACCTGGTTCCTCCATGGTATACCTGTAAAACGCAGTGCACATGCTTTACCTTGTGATTATTTCGGATATAATGGCTGCTCAATGAACATTTGGTTACCCCTAGAAGTCCAAATATGCTGAATAATTCATAAATAGCTTGACGGACCGACACATAAAAATTAAAATTTGAAATATAAACAAATTGTCATGGCAGCAATAATCACACATATACACTTATGCACACATGTATAAGTAATTCTAATTGAATTCAATCTAATTAAGACTACATTGTTACAAAAGTGGTAATTGTAGACCAAATAATTGAGGTAGATTTGTTGTTAAAAAAAAACAGCATCATTCTTTCTTGTTGTTTTTGTCAAGTCTTCCTCACCTTTATCTAATTTGAATATTAATGCAAAATTGACAGTTTAACAGATAATTAGTCATATTTTAAAAATATTCAACTCTAAGGGTCAAATTAGTATGATACACGGAATGAAATAAACTGAACCAAATTTTGTCTGAATTGAGGTGGCAATTTGACATTACTCTAACAATGGGACATTATTAGAATGACCTGGTTATTTTTCGTTACGTCATTCATTTTCGATAGTCGATAGATTCTTTCATTAACCCCAAGAGAAATTCATGAGACTAAAGTGATAACTAAAATGAAGGAAAAATCTCCCCTTAAAAAGTAAACAGCCACAGCGGTTCTAGAAACGCTCGCTAACCACTTTCATGACCGCTGTTGTTCAGACCTCAGTGGATGATGTACTACGTTGACGTTCTGGATTCATCGACCAAGCCGAGAAGGACACTTGACTTTACAAAGCAACACTAATACAACTTAAATGTTGCTAGAAAGACACACGATGCAGTGGTATAATTGAGCAAAAACACCAGCCGCCTCCTCCGCATACTAGCTGACGGGAGCGACCGACCTCTCCTGTGTGGTAAAGAAGTTAGCAACGAAGCTAACAAGAACGAGCTAACATTCACCAACAAGATGTTTTTTTTTTTTTATGTCAAGATACAAACAACGATCACAGTGGTATAGTTTTAGGGAGAACAGGAAGTATAGTATTACCTTGATGGCGACTCAGACAGTTTCACTTATCTGTTATACACTTCTGTTTCTTATCACCAAATTCCGCTTTCCTGCTAGCGTCTCTAGCTAGCTAGCACTTGCCGGGGTATGTGGAAGTGACGTAATGTCGAGACAAGAATCTATAAATGTACTTGTTATTTTTAAATAATCAAATTCCTTTTTTGTAAAAAAACAAACTAAAAAAAGAAACAAATGGCGTGTTAAAAAATCACCGTAAAAAGGCTCAAATGTAGTGTCGTATTTACCTTTGTTATCGTTATTAGAATTTTCATACCCTCTCCATCGTTTGTGTTCCCAAACACAATTCAGAAACCTGTCATGTCATCCGTCATTTTATCCATTCTTTTGTTTCGTTTCAATAGACCACTTGCAGCTCTCCAGGGAGCGCGGTCCATTATGGTTTCGGGATTTTCTGTGGCTACCAATTCCTTTCGCGGCCTTACAGGGGCAGCATTTGCGTCTAAGTCGGCTGGAGGTAGTGCTGTACTCAATGAAACATGGTGAATTCATCAAAATTATTAGAACCAGTTGATTATAGTTATAAAAGAACACGATAAATGTAAATGACACAACCATGGAAAGTGTTTAATTTCTTCCTTTATATTAAATTTTAACAAGTACTGTATTGTAAATTGCGTCACAGGTACGTCATCTTGGTTGTTCGACCAAAGACCGGAAGTCGTACTGAAAGCAACACTGTAAACGAATCTCAATTCGGTTAAATCTACATTAATGGAAATGATCCAGCCATGGGAAGTGTTTACGTTCTCCTGTTTTAATTAATTAAGTTTCAACAAGAGGTTTAAAAAATACGTCACAGTTGCATCACCTAGCAGAAGACCGGAAGCGGTGCTCGAAGCAACATGGCGAACTTCGTGGAGGCAAAAACTCGAGCGGAATTTGAGGATTTCCTGGCCAAGGGCGGCTCTCGACTCACAGTGGTGCACTTTCAGGCGTCATGGGCTCCTCAGTGCGGCCAAATGAACGAGGTGATGGCCGAACTGGCCAAGGAGCACGCTCCCGCCACGTTCGTCAAGTTGGAGGCTGAAGCTGTGCCGGAGGTGTCGGAGAAGTACGAAATCGCTTCCGTGCCCACGTTCGTCTTCTTCAAAGGCGGAGTGCAAGTGGACCGACTGGACGGGGCACACGCTCCGGAGCTCACAAAGAAGGTCCAAAGCCTGGTTACCAGCGGGGGCTCGGAGCCCGAACGAGGCCCGGGGGACCTAAACGCGCGTCTGAAGAAGCTGATCAACGCGGCGCCATGCATGCTGTTCATGAAGGGTACCGCGCAGGAGCCCCGCTGCGGCTTCAGCCGGCAGATGGTGGCCCTCCTGAACGAGAGAAACATCCAGTTCAGCACCTTCGACATCCTCTCCGACGAAGACGTGCGCCAGGGTCTGAAGACCTACTCCAATTGGCCTACCTATCCGCAGCTGTACGCCAACGGCGAGCTCTTGGGCGGCTTGGACATAGCCAAGGAGATGGCAGAGTCCGGCGAACTGGAGAGCGCCTGTCCCAAGGCGGTCACCCTCGAGCACCGACTCAAGGAAGCAATCAATCGGAGCCCGGTGATGCTTTTCATGAAGGGCAGCAAGGAAGCAGCGCGTTGCGGTTTCAGCCGGCAGATCCTGGAGATCCTGAATGGCGCCGGTGCGGACTACGACACGTTCGACATCCTGCAGGACGAAGAAGTGCGCCAGGGGCTCAAGACTTACTCCAACTGGCCCACCTACCCGCAGCTGTATGTGAAGGGCGAGCTCGTCGGGGGTCTAGACATTGTCAAGGAGCTTCATGAGAGCGGCGAGCTGCTGACCGTGCTCAAAGGGGACTCTTAGGACACAGGTGTCAAACTCTAGGCTCAGTGGGACTACATTTGGCCCGCTAGAACAAGCCATGTGCGGTCAGCATCATGTTTGTAAGAAAGTAAAATCCATACCAAAAAAGTGTTTTCGGTTTCAATGCCATCTTGAAATTTATCCTAACAGTAAATACTGAAGTGACTAACTTTAAAAAAAAGTGTAAAACTAACCATCACATATGCAGCCAAATACACAAACAATAAAATATTTTCCAAAATTGTCAAGTGTCTCCACTTTTAGAAGTCGAGATTTCGCAAACATATTTGTCATAGAATGTAGCCTGGTGTGATCACAGTTCCATCACACTTTTTCAAGGACTTGCAGTTGAGTCGATCCGTTCCTCAGAACCTCATACTCCACTGCACATGCTCATTTGTTGGCCTTAATTGAGCCAGAGACCGCTGGCTGCTGCCAAGTCATTGGAATACAATAGGTACAGTACACAATGTGTCAACACATTGTGTGTTACATGAACATATTTACAATTTCAACTGTACCTGTGGATGAAATAAATTAAGCTTGTGGTAAAAAAAAACAATTAACCAAGCCCTGCGCACATCACTGGGTCCACCAAAGTAAATGAGAGCGAGCACCGTCTTTCAGTCTATCCAGTATCCCAAAAGTCTTCGGGAGACTTTTGGGCACAACTGTCAAACTTAAGGCAATTGCAATATCACTCCACAATTAATAATATATGAAACTGACCGCCAAGACAATGTACTGAACTCACTTGGAAACCTCAATGCATCAAAGGGTGAGTTATGAACTTAAATGGCGGCGTGGGCACCCGCAGCGGCTCTTCTCTCTCCTGAGGAAAGTAATTTCATCTGTGCTGTATGTTGCACATGTAGCACATTTGACAATAAAGTTGACGTGACTTGAATGTCAACAAAAAAAATTCTGTTTACCGTCTGACTCATACTGACTACCACTATTACTTTCACATTTAGTCACTTTCATTTTCTGTTGGATGGAACAGCTTTGCTACTACTGTGTGGCACTGTATACATTTAATAAAACCAGAGAATATTCTCTCTCATGGTTTGAGAGTCTTAAGATGCTTTTTGACTAACTTCAGGCGGCCTGCCATGTACCTTTTATTTCGTATCAAGGAGTGGCCTTTAAGGCACAGCACTGGCAACAGAGGGGCTCTTGGGGGTGCTGTAGCTCTCCCCAAGAAATTCCTCCATCCATCTTTTCTCAACAATGCTTATCCTGTTCACGGTCACGGACTGTTGGAGCCTGAACTGGTCACCAGTCAGTTGCCCAAGCAATTAATCAAATGAATTTTATTATTTGTCAATATTATGGAAGTTACAATCTGTCAAACTAAAAGATAAGAAATCCTTTATTAGTCTCGCAATGGAGAAATTCCCAATTCACAGCAGCAAAGTTATGAAAGGAAGAAGTAGAAGAACAAAATATAGGAGCTGCTCGAAAGGCAGCCACTCTCGCAGCGTAATCTTGAAGTCAAAATAACAATATAACACAACACAACACAAAAGACACAGAGAGTCGTGCAATCTTAATCACTTTTCCTGTATACACTTTGTTGTTTGAAGCAGTTGGAGAGGATCAAAGTGTCCTTTCACCAGTGGATCAGAGACCAAAAACCAATATTAGAAGAAGTAATGTGTTATTAATTTTCCACTGTACAGGCCTTCCTAGCTCTGTTAAACCCTCGTGGCCTGCGTTCTTTTGATGACACAATGGTTGGCTCCCAAATGCAATAACATAAATCACAGCACAATGCCATTTTGAACATCTACATGTTTTCACAATCCGGGGGGATTTTGAGTTCCCAAGTGTTTACTTTTCAATGCCCTCTCTGTGATTGAAAATACAAAAAACATGAAAATGAACATAATATGTACCTGCATGGCATTCAGTAAACAGGGAAATAGTCATCATACCCGTGTGCTTCATGAAAAAATATTTTCAACTAAGTAGGGACAGCACCTAGTGAGCAACAGAAAGCCCACCACTGTGCATGGCGGAGGCGTCTGTTGTGCTTATTTGTGAGTGTGTGTGCCCAACTCGACACAGATGAGTAAGGAGAAAGCTGGTGACATTTTACATAATCCAAGAGAACGCTGCCTGGATGCTGGGGAATTCCCCATTGAGAGCACCTAAAAGTGAAGTGAAACTTTTGACTCATCTCTTGGTGAAAGCGAGTTTGCCAGCACAAGAGGATTTGGAAGAGGATGCTTAGCACAGAAGCTTGTCACAAGACAATGATGTTACAGGACTCAAAACAACATATACTATGGCATGGATCTTATTCTTACGGTCACGACCGGCAACTTAGGTGAGGTCAGGAACGTAGATCGAACGGTAATTTGAGAGCTTTGCCTTCTGACTCAGTTCTCTCTTCACCACAACAGACCAAAAACACAGTCTGCATCACTGCAGATGCTGCAATGATCCGCCTGTCAATCTCCCGCTCTGTTCTCCCCTCACTTGTGAACAAGACTCCAAAATACTGTACTTGAACTCCTCCACATGGAATAGGCTCTCCTCCCCGACTTGGAGAGGGCACTTCAACCTTTTCTGACTGAGGAACACGGTCTCATATTTGGAAGTGCTAATTTTTGTCTCAAAGGCTTCATAATCATGGCTGTGAACCGCTCCAGTGAGAGTTGATGATTGTGGCTTGATGAAGCCAAAAGTACCAGAAGTACCAGTGGCTAGGAATTCTATCCATAAAGGTTATGAACAGAATCGGTGAGAAAGGGCAGCCATGGTGGAGTCCAATGATCAATACATGGTACCCTGAATAGAGCCTTGAGGCACGCCACAGGCTAAATGATGTGATTGCATTTAAATTTTTGACCATGATCAAAATCTAATGACAGTTTTTAAATTTGTTAGAGAACTAACACAATCATACATTTACCACAAATGATCACAAAGTAGACAACCCCTCAATCTAATTGCTTCAATTGCATCTTAATCTTTGAACCTGTCAAAGAGCAGTTTTTAAATGCATGTTAGTTATCATTTCTAATGTTACAAGATTCAAACAGCCATCCATTCACCACAGTTATTCACAAATAGGAGAAGACCTGGAATAGAGCCCTTTGGGGATACCACAAATATCAATTTTTGAACCTCACCATAGACCTATTTCCAGTTTGTAAACAAAGATGACGTCATGAGGGTGCACGCGCATTGTTGACGCAGAAAAAACGGTGGGGTTTGTTCGCTACACACAACAGACTAACTCTCAATGATTACAAAAATTAAACTAACACTAAAACTAACATTGCCAAATGGAAGTGAATTGCAATTTTCAAAAATCCAACTTTATTCACATAATAATATGTCTGATATTCTGGAAAAGAAGTCTATTTACCCCAAATAAATAAATACGGCTATATTCTAGAGCACGGGTGTCAAACTCATTTTTATCGTTTCCCTTGGAGGGCCGTTATGACTGAAGCCAAATTAAAAAATCCAATAATAATGGCTTATACAACTAGTTTTTAGATTTTAGCAAGCATCATGGAAGTTGACATGCTTGATTTGCTTTTGCGGGCCTCATAAAATGATGTGGCGGCCCAGATCTGGCCCCCGGGCCTTGAGTTTGACATCATTCTTGAGGGAAAAAGTAGGAAACTGCAGTTGTAATAATTCCTTTTGATCTTAAACAAGCCAAGCAAAAGATTTATGTGATGACCCATCACAATCTTAGTCGAGCTTTTAATTGGCCCACTGTTAACGTAGGGAGGAGTCAATGGTTTATTATCATAAGTTTTAAATACAACATGCTGGACATTGATTTTAAGTTGAACAAATAAAAAAATGAGAACTATGGTTCCTAAAGCTGGAGTCCAAAGTATTGTTTTTGTTATTATTGCTATTTTATTCAGTCCACCACAGTGAGAACGAGAAGGGTCGTTTCGGTGGTAAAATAATAACAGGGTGACCTATAAAGATGGGAATTTCTCACACCACCCACATTGATACGAAGGGTACACACAACACAAGTACATCTTTTCAGGTCAGCAAAATACTGCCAATCCCACACACTTTCTTTCCTCTTTAAAAAAAAAATACAACAATTTGGTTTTGTTTCACTCAACACTCTCATCCAATAAAGGTTTTACATCCTGATTCTCAGTTTCAGCCAAAACGGCACGACGAGTTTTGAATTGGAGCCACCTACATACTCACCACAGCCTCCCTCCTCCCCTCTGCATGACCACAATGAAGGAAATCTGGTGCAAAATGTAAACTACAGCCATCACATCAATTGGGGCAGTGAGAGCGACAGGTGAGTGTACTCTCTTTGAAGGATCAATATACAATTTCATCCTGTATCGTTCCACTCTCTGACAACATTTTGCACTTTGTTTTGATCGGAGATTATTTTTAAATGTTTTTTTTTTCGTGATTGATGGTCCCATTGCCGTTCTTAGATACATCTTCATTCTTGATTCATTTCTTTATCCATCAGCAAGCATTTACTCAGGAGTAGACATGCTCTCTGACACATTATGTTGGCTTGTCATTTGAGCGTTTATTTACGATCCGAATAGTGCCCCGAACTTTGATTCGAACCTAATGCGCTGCCCAAAAAGTTATCAAACGGCTTTTCAGCAAGCCGTTTGAGCATTTATTCAATATCCTTGATATCCACCTTAAGATCTATGTACTCATATGTTCTTTGTCCTCACAAATTTGAAAAGTCAGGCACACTAGTAGCTAAGGCTGAACAATTCAAATCAACATCTCAATGTAATAGAATGGAATTTTCAAATCGCAAAGGCTGCAATGTGGGAGAAAGTTTTGCCTCATTTGACATCTAACAGGGCTAAAATGTAAGTAACTGTTCATACCATTGAATGCTGACCAGTTATTTCGCAGATAAACAAAGTTGCCTGCTAATGCACTAGAATACATTCTGTGTCGCTGCTCAAAATGCTGATTGTGCTGACCTTAACCCATTCCAAAGAGAAGAAAACAAGATAAAATGAGAGTGCAAGACGCGGGGGAGGCTCCCTTGACAGATCTGTGAACGGTGTCTGTCCATGGTCCCCCCCAAAATAAATCTCATAATTTTTTATACTTGTCTTGGTTTTCTGGACAAGACAGGAAGACTGCATGTGTTTTTGTGAATACAGTATCCATCCATCTATCTATCTATCTATCTATCTATCTCTCTCTCTCTCTCTCTCTCTCTCTCTATAAAACACAGGACAGTGTCAAGATAATTTCACTGCTGAATAAGTGCAGTCGACATTTACATAAACATGAAACGGTGAAGTGATAAAGCCACAGATTTGTTTGCACTGTCGTTGTAAACTGATTTATGACATACAGACATTGGTGCCATTTGTTGGGGAGAATTTTGTTGAGTTGCCGTAGCGAACGCTTAAAGTGTTTAAGTCCAAGTGTTTACTCAGTTATAAACTGTCTTTCAGAGAAATGAATGCTTCATTCGCATTTATTTTGACATAAGGCTAACCTATAGGGCCAAACATTTAAGTACCGTATCATGAATATGATGTTGTTCTTTGTAATAAATATGAATTCATTGCTTGTTTGTAAAAAAAAAAAACCCAAAAAAACAAACAACAAAAAAAAAAAAAACAGTGGAAAAGGACCTACTCTCGTTCAACCCGACAAGAAGGACAACTTCTTGTTGTCTTGTTGAGAGGGAAGAAATTTCATCTGTGCTGTATGTTGCACATAAATTGCTCCTACTGTAGTACTGCACTGAAGTTGCTCAACTCTATCATCAAAAAAAACAAAAAAAACAATGAGTTTCAAACACCTATCAATAATGTTGACATATGCCGTTGAAAATGAAGCAAAAAACTGAATTTTATTGCCATGGTCATGTGACAGAATGGATCCCCAGCCATGTTCTATGAAGAAGGTTCTGCTGCAGGTATGGCTCAGTCTCCTCACCATGGCCATGCTTGTCATGGGCGCACAACTCGCCTTCATCATCGCTAAAGGCAACCAAGCGGCTTTGGCGGAACCACGCGGAGGCCCAACGCTGAGCAGCATACATCATTACGATCCATCACGTACGTCCACCTTCCTTTATCCGCAAGGGTGGGAAGTAACCAAGTGTCGATACGTACTTGGTTACTGTACTTAAGAAGATTGTTAGGGTATCTTTAGTTTAACACTTATTTTCCTGATGCGAATAATGGCACGATGGAAACAAGACGCCTCTGTCTACCGCTCTACTCGTCTACTGTCATAAATCACTGAATCGGACATCTTTTTTTTTTTACAGGAGCTCCGTCCATGTCCGTTGGGGATTTTCCAGGTTTCTCTCATTCATACATACAAATCATGAAATGTAAGACAGAATTTTCTTTTGTGGATTTACCTTCTTGCTTTATGAATGTGGCTTTGTAGAAAGCAATCGTGACATACACGTAACAATGGTCCAACTTACAGCCAAGTGCCTGGTTAGCATGGTGTCATATGTTGAGGGGATTCGCAAGGGAGCCCTGAGGATTGCCACCAAAAATATTAACTCCTTTTCAGAAAGTATCGTTGTAAAAATGTCATTTTTAAAATATAAAATATATTTTAAACACTGCATGTTTAAGATAAGAAAACCTTTATTAGTCTCGCAATGGAGAAATTCCCAATTCACAGCAGCAAAGTTATGAAAGGAAGAAGTAGAAGAACAAAATATAGGAGCTGCTGGAAAGGCAGCCACTCTTTAATTTAGTTTAATGCAAAAGTCATAGATTTTAACTGAACTTTTGGTATAGAAAAAAAAGATATAATTTTACAAATAGTTTATGTCTGTGCATTTATAGGAAAATATATAGGGTGTCCCAAAAGTCTCCATACATATGAGAAATAATACAATCCATACAAGTATGGTTCTAACATTTATTTCTTTATATTTCAGATAACCCAGGGAATGAATTTAAACAAAGAGCAACATATTTGAAATCATCCTGATGGCCAGTTCAGCAAGCAGTCGTTTGGTTTATGTGAAGAAATGTTTATTTTTCCGATTTATGGAAACTTATGGGACACCCTGTATATTAACTCATTGTAAAAATACACTGAAGTTTGCAACATGTATTACTTGTAAAAAAATAAAATAAAAATTAACATTTAACATTAATTTAATCCTAAATGTATTCATTGAAAAACATACTATACTAATTTGAACAAATACTTATTTTAAAACAAATCATTTTTTAAAACATATTCATAATAAAAATCCATCCATCCATTACAGTATACATCAATAAAAATGTATACTGTAAAAAATATGAATTCAAGATACAGCGGACCCTGCTATTCGTGGTAGTCTGGCCTGCGAAAAGCAAAACGCTGCATATGTTGATGCCCATTATAAATAGTGAACAAAACAACAAATTTTTAAACCTAAAAATGTATGGAAAGAACATATACCCCCTCCCCCAACACACATACAAAAAAAATATATATATATAGATATATATATATATCTATATATATAAGGTTTCGGGAACTTCGATGAAATAATACTGAAAAAAAATCCAAAATGTGCTACTTGTGTTTCACTGAAGCACAGAGGGACTTATGTGGCTGTCCTTTTCCCATAGCATCCAACAGACATCCTTGGGAGTCCAGCTCACCCATGTGCGACCGATGCACACTGGCACTGCGCAACGATTCCATCCTGTTTGGCCAGGACGGCGTCTACTTCCTGTATGCCCACGTGACCTTCACAGAACAATCCATAAGAGGCGGGCGAGGCAAAAGTGTCATTGTGACCAGAAACGCCACATCCGGCAAAAGCGTCAGGAAGCTGGCCGAGGGCTCCTTCCCGGCCGCGACCCACGGCTCCGTGTGGGTAGCCAAGATGGTGCGGCTCCAGGAGGGGGACAGCGTTAGTATAAACATTAGTGGAGACTTCCTGACTGAGGACACATTTTGGGGTGCCTTTCAGATCCATTAACTGAGGAGGAGGACTTGTGTCAATTGACTTGACGAAAGTCAGAATTGAGTCGTTAATTTTCGGACTTCAGTGTCTAAAACTTATGAAATATTCAACCTGACTTTGACTTGACTTGTGTAGAGCAGAGTGGTGCATTTGCAACTCGCCGTTGTGAAAATAACCCAAAAGCAACATATTGTGTGCATAGCAAGCATGTTGCATTTGTGATGCTGTCGTCCCTGAGTGTGCTTTAAGATGTTTAACGACGCCCCAGTTGGAGTTTACAGTAAAAATAAACTCACAACAAAAAGAATTACAACCATTGTACATTGAAACACGGGACATGCTTCACTTTTAAAACATTGCAAACGCCAATGCTAAAGTCAATGTAAAAATCACTTTTTGTCTCAATAGTATTTTTAATAACAACACTGCCGCCTAGTGTACAGTCAGAGAACATAACAGAAGTGAAACTCGTTTTGTGAGACAAATTACATGCACTTCCATCGAACATTTATCATTTATTTTTCCAAGCCGCTCAGAGCCTCAACATAGAGATGACAGAGCGACAGGTTGCCGACCCTTGGCTTAACTGTATTATACTGCCCCCCAGTGGCCAGGTTACACACACCAGGAGTGGCAATGAATTACAGGTACCTGTAATCACGATGGACAAACGCCCCCCCCAACATGCTATTCAATTATTTTATTACTACCGGTATATGTTTCATAAAGCAAAGTATCGTTCCGTAGCTTGATCTGAACTGCAGTACCGTATTTCAACTGGCCACTGGTGAAGCTGCTTCCTCCTCGCGTTTTCCAAACACACGTTCACTTTGTATGACGTCCGGTGACGAAACAAATCAGCAAATGGCTGAGTGGACTATAGTCATTTCCAGTCAAAGTCAGGCAGCTAACCTCAAATGACATCACTGTAAACACACACACACACACACACACACACACACACACACACACACACACACACACACACACACACGAAGGTTCACAATAGCATACCTTCGTCAATACACGCCCGGGTGAAGAACTCCAAAATGATTCTATTATTAGACCTCAGCGAAAGTGATTGACGCGGTTGGTGTTTGTGCTTTAAATAGCCCTTACGCTTTCTCTCTCCCTTGTATATAATAAAGTAATTCAATAATGTTAGCTATTAATACTCTTTTGTGTAAAAAAAAAAACAAAAACAAAAAAAAACGCACAGGTAAGATATGTTGTGAATTCGATAGCTTAATTATATTGTGTTGTTTAAAAAAATTAAATATGAATTTTATTCACCTTTGGTCACATTGCAAGTCATTTTTATGTAAAACTGCAATGCACTTATGGATTTAGTGTATCTTAGATATTAATTTTTGCTGATATTTACGAAGTAGTAAGATATTTATTTTAACATTATTAATAGGTTATCATTGAGTGATTTTTTGAACGTTAAATCTCATATGCTGATATTTAAAAAGCAAACAATGGAAATGCAAAATCTTGATTACATGTTGATATTTTAAAAGGTTATCTGTAAATCTGGATCCATATGTTAACACCATTTTTAAATGTTAAAACTCTGATAAGAGAACGTTGCATTTATCCATAGAATTTACTTGAAATTCACCACCCCCCCAAAAATACACATCTTCATTAGACAAAAAAATACATGGAAATTCATTTATTTGTAAAATATGATGACATTAATAAAATCGTAATTAATACCTTAAATATGTTTATGAATTAAACTGCCAGGCTTTATTGATGTATTGTACCTTAAATATTATAAGGTGATTTTAAAAAAAATAGTAAACAATGAAATTTGCTTAATTTTCAAGTAAAAACTACAGTGTATGAATTCATTACAGTATATGCTGATAATAAATAAAATCTCAGATTTATTCCTACAAAAATGATCCCAAATTTGAATTGATTTTATTGCACTGTATTTAAAAAAAAAAAAAGCAAATGACTAATCTCAACAATTTTAACTTTTTCTCCCCTTTGCATGATTTCTCCTGAGACAAAGCACACCTTTTTTTCCCTTCAAGCGTGAACTTGTTGCATCATCTTGCAAGCTCCATCAAATTGCCTCTTTCTTAAGGCTGACACGTCACGGAAAATTGCCTTCCCATTTGGCAAGCCCAGAACTGGTCCTTCCAGAAGTTTTTCAACAGCTGGCTAAGCTCCCTGCCACTTATCAGCTTTGCAATTAAGTACATCATAATAACATTCAATAATCAACTCAAGTTATCATGAAAGGAAAAACCAATCATTACATATACCGTCTATACAGTCTATTGTGTACAATATACAATGAATATATTTTACACTTAATATATCACTGCAACATTTTACAGTAGTACATGTATGTTTTTACGAAAAAACACAATTTTATAGTTATTTTGTTTTGCATTTACTTTTCTTTTCAAAATTAAATAATTGAAAAATATCATTTAAAGTCATCCATTTTAAAAGAAATAATTCAAATATTTTTACAAAAGTAGATTGTACAAATAACAGATTGCACCATTAATACATATCACAATATGAAATCAATTACAATATTTTTCACAACAAATACACATTTTTGACAATTAATTATTTTTAAAAATATTTGTTGCAATGGTCTTCCATTAACATACCATGCATCTTTTTTGGGGGGGAATGTGGGAGGAAACCAGAGTACCCAGAGAAAACCCATACAGGCACGGGGAGAACATGCAAAGGGAAGGCCATAGCCCGGAATCGAACCCTCCACCTCTGCACTGTGACAGGCTAATCATTTACAGGTAAGTATTCCCTAGTAAGGAATCATATTTGCGTTGTGCAATCTTTCCTTATAACAGAATTTCATTATGTGGAAAACGACGATGGTACATGTCCTTTATGAACATGCAAGTATGTGAACAAAATACACGTGTAACAACGCAAGCAATAAAATGCAAAAATATATGGTCCAAAAACAAGACGAGTCACAAAATTAGGACTATTTGTTACAAAATGAGACTCGTAACAGACCTGGTAGCTTTTCTTTCCACTCACTCACTGACTCTAACTTGACCTCCCCTCGATCACCACACAAGACAACGTTGCTCAGCTGATGTCATGCAACCAACTTTTGAAGCCAGCCACCGGACACTTCAATGTCCTTCAATGACACTTCAATTCCACTCTCTCCTCCATGGTCATTACCGCTCCTCTTCGTTTGGATACCACGATCTACAAGATGTACATGTAAATGAATGAAATAGAAAATCGTTCGCGATTCCAGCAAAACTCACACCAATAGAGTCACTTACATGTCGCCGTTTTGGCTCCAATGAGAGTAAAAATAGTGGCGGCAACACTTATACCGTTGTATCGAGCCGGACTTGCTTGAGTTTGCGCTTCTGCGGGCTTCCATATGGCTTCCGTGTTCCGGAACTTCTGTTGTTATGAATCGATCATTAACGTCATATCGTAGTCGAAATTTTAATGCATAGGTTTTTATTCTGGGTGAGTTTGACAGAAGTCCATAGGTGGGAATACTTACTGTATATAAATTATATTATATATATTTGTTCTACATTCTATTCACAATTAATGTTCTGGAACTTTGGACAATAATTTATATTTATTTTTTGCAGTTATAGTGAACCCCCCCACAATATTGCGGTTCATTGTTTTCACTCCCCGTTATATATATGTCGCAAATTTTTAGGTGATTGTTTTGTGTTTGAATACATTTAAGTTTCAACTATATACTCAAAGAAAAAAAAAACAACAATGTTAAGATGGCTGTGCAACTTATCGATCAAGGGGGTGTTCGCTAAATTCACATTTTACGACACTTCCTCAACTGTGATGTCACATGTTCATTCCCAAGTCAGTGACACGGAAAAAAAAATTCCCATGACCCCTGAACTGATTGACAAGCTGCTAAACTTTCCCTGTGTTCTTGTCATAACAAAGCATTGTTGTCATCGCCTTCCTCACAGGCCCGTCACAGATTCCTGGTTTACTTCCTATCGGCCCACGGGCTGAAGAGGAGGCGTGATGACGTCACGCATTTTTACAAGCCTTCCGGTATCAACCCCGAGATGTAAAAGGAATACATTGTCAATTATTAGATTTCACAAATAAAACACATTTTGATGCAATTTTGTTGGCGCATGAAGATTGTGTTGAAAGAAAAGTAACATGAAACGCTGTCAATGTTATTTTCCAAGCATTTTCTAGACAACACTCGATACTTGTTCGTTAATTATTCAGGATCCATCCTACTGTATGTATTATTCTATCCCTATCGTGAATTGTGACTGGCAGATGTTAGGTTTTCATTTCATTGTTGGTGGTTCTTACAACACGATGCAGAGAAATCTTTGAGTAGCACTCAGAGATACTTACACTATCTTAAGTGAGAACATTTTAAATTGCATTCTTACCGCTGAATTGTGCATGAGGTGCTTCTCCCAGACATCATTACATGTGTCACTCATTTAAAAGCGTTTGTCACTGAAGATGGTACAGGAAATTGTTAACAGACCAAATTAACCAACCCACAAAGTAACCACAAGGGCAAGCATACTTAGGTCGTTTTCAATGTAGTTATGTAAATCTATTGTTATCCTGATTATGAATGCCAACAATTTGCATTGCAAGGTGAAATGAAAAACAATAGCTAGACTCGGCGGCATGGTGTCGACTGGTTAGCACATCGACCTCACAGTACAGAGATCAAGAATTCGAATCCGGCCTTCCTGTGTGGAGTTTACATGTTCTCCCCGAGCCTGGGTGTGTTTTCTCAGGGTACTCCGGTTTCTTCCCACAATGCCAATCCTCCAAAATGCATGCGAGGTTGATTGGGCACTCCAAATTGTCCCTAGGTGTGACTGTGAGTGTGAATGCGTGTTTGTCTCTGTGTTCCCCGCGATTGGCTGGCGACCACTTCAAGGTGTACCTACTGCCCGAAGACGGCTGGGAAAGGCTCCAGCATGCCCGCGACCCTCTTGAGGATAGGCGGTTCGAATCACAAG